TCTGCTCCTTGATTGGTCGAGAGCTCAGGCTTCTGTTCTTTTCTGCTCTTTGATTGGTCGAGAGCGGAGCAGCGGATGGACTAGGCCTCTAAGGTCCATCCTTTGAGGCTGAGAGAGTGTGACTTGCCCAAGGTGGGTTTCCATGGCCGAGCTGGGATTTGACCCCTGTTCTCCAGAGTTTTGCACTGCAGAAATAATCCAGTTTGGGACTGCTTTAACTGCCCTGGAATTCTGGGAACTATAGTTTGTTTTTTTTAAATAAAAGTTGTATTGATTTCCAACATAATAATAATAAAAAAAGCACCAGACAATGCACTTATAAAAATACATATCTTTTTTCAAACAAGTAATTTTTGTGCATAGCTTAAAGTTCACTCCCCACTGTTAAATCCAATTTTTCATTTTCACATTAAAACTTCAACTGATTTTTTAACACACACACACCTTCCCAAAATCATGATCCTTTGAACACAGTGTGAGACTGCAGTCCACAAAAACTCATACTATAATAAACCTGAAAACATTCAGGGGTAGCTGTGTTGGCCATTTAGCAAATTCAAACAAAAATCCACCAAACAGTGATACCTTTATTGGCCAACTAAAATGCACCATGTACTTGTTGCAAGCTTTCGAAGCTCCATGGGCTTCTTCTTCTTCATCAGGCAAGATGTTACAAAGCAAACATTGGAGAAAAACCATTGGAGATGTTAGTCAGATGCCTGCATTTTTCTCCTGTTTGGTTTGTAATATCTTTCCTGATAAAGAAGAAACCCATGGAGCTTCGAAAGCTTGCAACAAATATATGGTGCATTTTGGTTGGCCAATAAAGGTATCACTGTTTGGTGGATTTTTATTTGAATATAATAAACCTGTTGGCCTTTAACACATATTCCATAGGGCTCTTTGCTTTATCAAAAGATATGCATTCCTCTCTTTAAGTGCCCCTGATAGTTGCAGAATACAAACTCATATCCTAAGTCCTTATCATTCATTACCTTCCTGGAAAGATTAAGAGCTACATTCAAAACCAAATACAGCTGAACTAATTGGATTTAAAACCTGTTCAAGCCCATTTAAGTCAATGGCCCTAAAGTGGTTCAAGGCTGATTGTCTTTGCAGACCCAGCTATTGTTATGTGAAACTAATGTTGATTTAAAGCCACTTTAGTTCTGTGTGAAATTGAGAGGCTTTCACTGCTTAACACTTTAGTTAGAATTCAAAGATATAGCCCTGTTAGTCTGTAGAATCAGTCTGGAGAGAGATTTTGTAGGACCTTTGAGACTAACTGAAAGAAAGAAATGGGCAGTATGAGCACGATGCATCTGAGGAAGTAGATTTCAGTCTACAAAAGCTCATACTGCCAACTTCTTAATAATAATAATAATTTATTTATATCCCACCTCTCTGTAAAATATAACCAAGGTGGTTTACAAGATAAAGCAAACAATCCCTTCCCCCATTAGCCCCCCAAAATACAATTAAACAGACAAAATATAAAAACATACTTAAAAAATTACAAACCACAAATAATTGTATAGTCTCAAAGGTCCTACAAGATCTCTCTACATACTAAAAACACTTCGGTTCAATTTGTATGTAGGTGCCTTCAAGTCTGCTTAAGGTGATCCCATTAATTTAATGGGGTTTTCATAGGCAAGAAATACTCAGAGGTGGCTTTCCCAGTTCCTTTCTCTGAAATATATAGCCTACAACACCTGGTATTAGTTGATGGTCTCCCATCCAAATACTAATCAAGGCTGGTGCTACTTATCTTCCAGTATCAGGCCAGATCTCTTGGCTATAGGGCATTTAGGCATTCTTGGTTGCACATATTAAAGAGTAATTGTTCCACTTTTTAACATTAAGATTACAGGAGAGATGTATTATGGGCCTTTGCAGACTGCTAGAAATAGTGCAAATTGAGTCCACTTTAACTGTCCTGGCTCAGTACTAGAGAATCATGGGAATTGTAGGTTTTTCTGAGACATTGAGCCTTCTCTGTCAGAGAGCTCTGGTGCCACAATAAACTACAGTTCCCATGATTCCTTAGCACTGAGTCAGGGCAATTAAAGTGGACTCAATTTGCACTATTTCTAGCAGTCTGTAAAGGCCTTATAGATTGTGGAGGGTACTGTCCTAACTACTTTTAGAAGGATAGTATATACTAAAAATGTATCAGGGACATCTGCAAATGGATTAAGGATTGAAGCATAATTGGAGAGTGTGCATGTATATGTATTTATATATACATGTATGTCTCTATGTATAACATTCTGATGATTGGAGAACTATAAAACATTAAATCAGAATTTATTTAGCGTGAAAATATGTACAATCTAAATTCAATAGGATGTTTTACTAATGGATAGTGGTTCTAGTTCAAGACAGAGACAGACAAAATAAAGTATTTATTACCAAGACCCATAAAGAACCTGTGAATTTTGCTGCCCCGTAGGTAAACGCTGACTTTAGAGGCCTTTGAAATATTATTTAAAATATTGTTAAAAGGCTGTGTAGATCTGTGGTTTTCAACAAGGGCCATGCCTACCATCAGTGGAAAATATAATATATACTGTAGTCTGAATGTAGTGGTTTAATAACATTCAGCTATATAATCGTTGCTTGAGCTTATATGGAATTGTTGCCTTTGTTAATGTTTTAATAACAACAATAATAATTTATAAGAAAATTACCACATCTTTATTTTTGTGTTGTATAATTCAAAGACATAGCTGTGTAAGCCTGGAAAATCAGTATGCAATGGGATATTGTAGCACCTTTGAGATTGACTGAAAGAAAGAAGCTGGCAGCATGGGCTTTCATAGACCTGAGCCTATTTTCTCAGATGCATTTAGTGGAGTGGAAACCAGGGACAGACCTATATAAGCTGGTTTTGCGGGAGAATTTAAATGTAAATTCAATATCTTGAGAGCCAGGGTGGTGCAGTGGTTTGAGCATTGGACTATAACTCTGGAGACCAGGGTTCGAATCCTGGCTCTGCTGGTCCTGCCACCCCTGCCATGATGATATTATTATTGTTATTACTTGTTCTTGGGGTTTTCTTGGCAAAATCTCCACAGGGGTTTTGCCATGGCTTTTCTGGGGCTGAGAGAGTGTGCATGCATATTTATTTTATTTTATTTTATTTTATTTATTTATTTATTTATTTATTTTTGGTGCTTCAGCCCCCCAATTGTCTGAGGGACAGCAACCCGGCCCCTGGCTCAAAAAGGTTGCCTATCCCTGATGTAGGCCCTTGGGCAAGTCACACACTCTCAGCCTCAGAGAATGGCAATGGCAAACCCTCTCTGAAGAAATTTGTCAAGAAAACACCAGGGACGTTATCCCACGGGGCCAAAAGCAGCAAGAATCCACCAAGAATCCGGCGCTATAGCGCTAAATGTTTCTGACTGATCCCACGACGTCGCTAAGAATCCACCAAGAATCCAGCGCTATAGCGCTAAATCTTTCCAGCTGATCCCACGACGTCGCAAAGAAACCGCTAAGAATCCGGCGCTATAGCGCTAAATTTTTTCGGCTGATCCCACGACGCCGCTAAGAATCCGCTAAGAATCCACTCGGAATGCAGCAACATTCACGTTCTTTTGAATGCCTGGTCTCACCAGGCATTGCAATTGCGCGAGCTGATTCTTAGCGCTATGAAAGCGCTAGCGCCGTGGGCTGGCCATTTCCATCTCTGGGGGTTGCTATCGCTATAATAGTGGAATCATGCTTATGTTGCTTTCTTGCCACTTTCTTGCCACTTTGAGAGCAGCGTGGGATAAAGTCCCAGGAGAGGTTCACTTTAGGGTGGCCATCAGTCAGAAACAACTTGAAGGCACACAGCAGCAACAACACTTTGTGGCTATGGAAGTGACAACTTTAGTTTTAATGATGGTCTTTGGGGGACAAAGGCAGGAGGAAGGATGTTGCCTAAAGTCAAAGGGAGTAGATAAATATATTAATGAATATTGGAATGTAGTGTGGGAACCAGAGAGGTCAAGGAAAGGGGTTTGAGTGCTAGACTACCCTTGAGACAAGGGTTTATTTCTCAGCTCTGCTATGAAACCCATAATAATAATAATAATAATAATAATTTTTATTTATATCCCGCCTCTGTCAAAGAATTGAGGTTGCTCACAGCATTAAAACTCCATACAATGTTAAAATACAATCCAAAATGCCCCAACCCTCCCACCCCTTAAAATAGAATTAAACTAATGATAGCATTAAAACAGAATACATAATACATAAAAACATATTAAATTGTATAAAAACTTAACCGTTCAGTAACAGACTGAACAAAGGATTGCAGCCAAAATAGGGATAATGGAACTCCTGAGGTCGGGAAATCTAGTCAGGAAAGGCCTGTCGGAAGAGATCCGTCTTCACAGCTATTTTGAAGCTGTTTAGGTTGGTAATTTGACAGATCCATTCCATAATCTGGGAGCAGTAACCACTGGGTCACCTTGGGCAAGTCACACTCTCTCAGCCTCAGAGGATGACAATGGCAACCCCCCTCTAAAGAAACATGCTAGAAAAACCCCGTGATAAGTTTGCATTAGGGTCACCATAAGTCAGAAATGACTTGGATCAACACAACAACAGTAGTTGAGACTAACAAATTAAATGTAAGCTTTGTAATGGTTCCAGCATTATACTCTCATATAAAGCTCCCAGCATTTTTATATTACAGAAATGTTTAATGTTCTTAACATTAAACATAACTGAGACATATATTAAAAGAATGTCTGTGAATATATAAACCATGTTCTTTGACAGACTGATTGTTGGAATATAATAATAATAATAATAATAATAATAATAATAATAATTTACAAGTCAGGACCACTGATGCAACCTATTGGTTAAAGAATATGTTGATTCCCTCATAGACGGTCTTATAATTTGTTAGAACCTACTGTTTTCTGCAACTCCAAATGATGGATGAAAAAGTAAAAATGCACCAGTGTTAATATGCATCTTGGAGGCCGTTTAGTACATCTACTGTTAAATGATTTTTTATTGTTGTTGTTTAATGTATACTCCACCTTTTTCCTCATATGGTGCTTATATGCAATACAAGTACCATGAAATATAATAAAAACACAACAGCAAACAAATGCACAGTTAAGTGAACAAGAGCTAAGCAGATAAAACAGCCACCACAACATTTTTAATATATTTGTAATGGGGGGTTATCATTATTTGTCAATATTGTTTTATTGTTTATTTTGGGGTAGTTTTATTTAATCTCATTTTAGATGTAAGCCGCTTTGATTGCCACGGCAAAAGGCGGGGTATAAAAATAAAATTATTATTATTGTTGTCGTTGTTATTATATTTATATGGCAGTTTATGGGCCAAAAATCTGTTTGTGTGCTTTAGCTTCCAATCTTCTCTTGCTAGCTTTAAATCTGAATTAAAGACTTTCTTGTTCTCTGGAGCATTAGGATATAGTCTGATGACTTTGTCATATGTATTACCTGTTTTTATAGTTTTGTATGTAATGTTAGTAGTATTTAATTAATTTTTTAAAACTTTTGCTATCAATATTTTAGCTTTGTCTTTTTTAATATATTGTAACCCGCCTTGAATCCCACTGTAGGAGAAAGATGGGAGATACATCCTGGAAATAAAAAATAATAATATTTTAATTGTATAATTTGCTTAATTACTGTATAATTTGATACTTTATGATTTTTAGATTGTATGCCATTGGGACTTTTTAATGTTGAATTGATGATGTCTGTAAAGCACTAAATCGCAAGAAAGCCAAGTTTAGGAAGTGTTTTGTTTTTTTTTAATTGTTTATTTAGGTTAAATATGTTATGTGTGTAGGATTTGTTGTCTGTGTTTTTTTTTATGTTTTTTGGGTTTTTCTTTCTTTCTTTTTGTTATTTATGTTCTGTTATATTTTTTGTCATTGATTTTGTTAGGTTTATTTTTTTTGTATGTATTTTTGTATGTTTTTTTCTATAATTGTTTTTGTTTTAATTAATAAAATTTTGAATAAAAAAAATAAATTAAAAAAAAGCACTATGTAAATTTGATGGTGCTATATAAATAATATACATTATTATTTTATTTTTGTCTTGTCTTTACCCTTTTTCTGGCATTGTATAGCAAACTGTGATCTGTAGGCTGGCCTACCCTTGAAACCAACAGAAGCTCAAAAGAGAAGTGGAAAAGAGCTCCTCTATCTACCCCACTTCATATCCTTCAAGGGGTTTCTATTTTTAGGTACATTAATAATAATAATAATAATAATAATAATAATAATAATAATAATAATAATAATAATAATAATAATAATTTATTTTATATTAATCATATTATTATTTTATTTATTTTATATTAATCATATGTTTATTTATTTTATATTTATTTTTATTAAACATATTTATTTATTTATTTTATATTAAACATATTAATCATATGTTTGATTTTAATTTTATCATGTTTAATACTATTTTAAGGGCTGAGGGTAGGGGGTGGAGGGTATAAGAACTGGAATTTTAATTGTTGTATTTTAACTTGTTGTACGCCGCCCCGATTGCTGTGCAGAGGGGCGGGTTACAAATAAAATTTATTAATAATAATAATAATAATAATAATAATAATAATAATAATAATTTTAAGTTTCCTTTTCTTTAACCACGTCTTGATTTATATAGGAGGACTGGTTGTTCTATTCTCATTATAGCCTGTTCCTGTTTGATCCCAGATGTTCTGGAATTCTGGGAACAGCAAAAGATCCATTAAATAATGTTGACACATGACTCCTTGTCTTTCCCCCTTGCATTGCAGAGCATAGACATGTGTCCTTGGTGCTGGAATGCAAAAGGGAGGCAGATGGATAAGGCTGCAGTCTTAGTTAAATCATAAACAAAGGAACAATGTGAAGAAATAGGACAAGGTTTAACACTCCCTGCAATGGGTGAGGGGCCCATGTAGCCAGACAGAATGGATAGCCAGTGAGAAGGCAGGGAAAAAAGGGTGTTTTTAGGAAGAAGAATATATAGGAGAAGGGGAGGGAAGCTTGCTTACACACATTCAGTCTCTTTCTCTCTTCAGTTGTGCCTCATACTTTTGAATTTTGCTGTGAGTAATTTATTTTTAGAGAGCCGGCGGGGCATAGTGGTTCGAACATTGGACTCTGGAGTCCAAGGATTGATTCTCGTCCGTGTAAACTCCCTGGATGACCTTGGGTAAGTCACACTCTCTCGGCCTCAGAGGATGGCAATGGCAACCCCTACCCCCCACCCCGAAGAATCTTGCCAAGAAAACCCTGTGATAGGGTCGCCACAAGTCGGAAACGACTTGAAGGCACACAACAAGAACAAATTTAATTTTCGCATTGGTACGTAGAAAGATCTTGTAGCACCTTTGAGACTAAGGGCCTTTGCAGACTGCCAGAAATAGTGCAAATTGAGTCCACTTTAAGGGTTAGGGTTAGTGCTAGGGAATCATGGGAAATGTTTTTTTTCTTGAGACATTGAGCCTTCTCTGTCAGAGAGCTCTGGTGCCACAATGAAATACAGTTCCCATGATTCCCTAACCCTAACCCTAAAAGTGGACTCAATTTGCACTATTTCTGGCAGTCTGCAAAGGCCCTAAATGAAAGAAAGAAACTGAAGTCTAAGAAGGCTCATGCTGCCAATTTCTTTCTTTCATTTAGTCTCAAAGGTACTACAAGAGCTCTCCATATATTGAATTCTCCATCTCTAGGAGTGTTTTTAGCTCATGATTTAATGAGGAAGAAGACTGAAGTCTAGGAAAGCTCAGGCTGCCAATTTCAAAGGTACTACAAGCTCTCTCTACATTTTGCATCTGAGGAAGTAGACAGTCGTCTACAAAAGCTCATGCTGCCAACTACTTTCTTCGGCTCAAAGGTGCTACAAGATCTCTCTACAGACTAACACAGCTATATCTTTGAATTTTTGTATCGCCGACTGTAGGATTTGCCAAATCCTGGACTTGCCAGGATTTTCGTAAGCCAG